TCGTGGACTACAGCCCACTTCATCCGAAGAAGTCCACAAAAGCTTATGCTCTAATAAATTTGTTAGTCTCTAAGGTGCCACAAGTACTCCTGTTCTTTTTGCGGATACAGACTAACACGGCTGCTACTCTGAAACAAATAAAAATAACACCTAGCTCTTATGTAGCGCTTTTCAGCCATGTATCTCAAAGCAGTACTTTACAAGGGAGGCCAGTATCTTTAGCCCCACTGCGGGAAACTGAGGTACAGGAAGGGAAGCAACAAGAACTTGTATTGAATAATTTCTTTCTTTTCAAGTATTGCAGGACACAGAAACCAGAGCCTGCTGCCGCTTATAGTGACTGGTCTGCCCCCTGCTGTCCAAAACGGGTGACGACCTCTAGTCTCTGCAGCTGCACCAGGCGGCACCCTTACCCTACAATAGCAACTGTGCCACACTAGCTCCTCAGGACCCACGATGCCCTTCCAGCCCTGGTCTGGCCCGGGATGGAGTTGCTGTTTTGTACTCTTGTTAAGGCTGCAGCCAGCAGCTAGAAGGTGCCATGCAGTGAACCCCCTGCACCATCCCTCACAACTACCCAGGAAGAAACAACTACCATGAAGGATGGCTCCCAAACACCCAGCAGCGACAATATGAATTTGTGGGGCAGGGCGTCTCCGAACGGGAGTGGAAGCTCGCAGGTAACGCGTTACCCAGAACTCGAGGGAGGGCTGGAAAAGAGATTTGTACCTCACAAGCATCGCATGAGACAGAAGATTTCAGCCTTGATTTTCATAAGTGACTAGTGATTTCGGATGGCTCCATTTTTGGGTGCCCAACTTAAGATACCCAAAAGAGGCTTCATTTTCAGAAGGCAGGTACTCAACAGAAAAAAATCAGGCCCCTTCCAGGGTCCTGTGCTGGGCAGCCAAAAATGCAGCCACCCAAAATCAATAGGGACCTGTGAAAGTCTTGTCCAATTCAGGTGAGATTTCCCAAAGTGCCTGAATGACACAGGAGACTAATGGGGAGATTTTCATAGCTTCGCGTGGCAGTTAGACACCTAACTCCCGTTGAAAGTCAACCTGCCTTTGAAAATCTCCCTAAGGCTCACTGAAAGTTAATGGGATTTGGGCTCTGAAGTGCTTAAGTTACTTTTGAAAATGGGTTTTAGGCTCCTAAGTCACTTCAGTGCTTTTGGAAAGGTTACCCTTCACCTCCAGTTGTTCCTCACCTAGCCCCCCGGCCACGATGACCCTTCCTTTCAAGTAGCCAGCGACAAAGTCCGCTCGCCTTTTCTTTAGGAAGGAGGAGCGTTCCATCTTCATCCAGCCACCTGAGGAGAGAAAGGACAGACAGACGAACCGTGCTAAACTCAGCGGTTCACCACACTCCTGGTGAAACTCAGTGGTTTGTCGGGGAGTTTTGCTCAGAATCTTTGGTTCCGTTTGAACCCCAGACACAGAGTCAAAAGTCACTGGGAGGGGTACTAACTTCACACGGGGTGAAGTTAGAGATGGACCTGAGCCAAAATCCCAGCCAGGGAATGGGTGTTTGAAATCTGAGCTCAGAAGAGGATACTGATTTTGCAAAAGGCCCTTGTCCTACCTTTACAACAGGAAGAACTGAACCTTGGATCCAAACTGTGGGCTGCTGGAAAATCTGGATTCAGATTTTACAGCCTGTGCCCATCTCCAGAAAGTTGGCATGAACATCCCCTCCCTCGCCAAGCAAAACTCTTGCATTTCACACTAGCCCAGACACACTAGCAAGCCAGGGGAAACCAAGGCCCTGCTTGGGGTTTCCTTACTGAAGGGAGAACAGCTGAGATTCAATGTGCTCCATGCAGATCTTACCTGTGTACAAACAGGTGCAGCACAACTAAACCAAACCCTGCTAGCCTCTCCACCTCCATAAAGCCTGTTTGCCTGGCATTGCCCTGGCTTGTATAAGCCTATGTCACAGCTGGCCAGGGTGTCTCAGGGCAGTGTCCAGGAGAGAGTTTGGTATTAGAGCCAGCTGCCTGGACAATGGGTTTGCCACCCGCAGGCTGTGTGGCTAGTTTGCTTTTTTACTATTGATGGCATTCCTTCTGCAGAGCTGGGTGCAAGCAATCCGCAGTCAATCCTGCAGGAGGCAGCATGCCTCAACCCTCAACAAAGCCAATGGGAGCTGCAGATCCCTCTCAGCCCACCTATGTATAGCTCTAGCTGTGTGTCTTTAAGCCTTTGTTGACTTAAAAGATATTGCCCTTCATATCACACACGCGCCTCACCTGCAAGCATTGGACCTGACGGGCACCCACCTTGCTCAATGTCAAACACATCCACAGTCTTCATGAACTTGGGCTGCCGGTACAGCCTGCCCTGCCGCAGCCCCCCGAGACTGAAGAGGTTGTTCTCCGTGGGCACGAAGCTGGAGAAGGCCCTTTTGCTGGGGATGCTGGGGAACTTGGTCCATGACCTGGTCTCTGTGTCGAAGACCTCGAAGGCATTGATGGCGTATTTGGACTGCCTCCCACCTGGGGCAGACATGGGGACAGAAGCATCCCAGGGCAGGGTCAGTTTGTCAGTTAGCTGCCTCCAGGCTCTGGGAGAAGCACAGACTAACTGGGAGTAACTTACCTGGCAGTTGAAATGAGCGTGGCAGGTTTCAGACAATACAGAACCATACGACGGAACTTAGGTAACCACCTTATTATTATTTCCCTTATCCTCCCTCCTCTGCTTTCATCTGCCACACTCACTGGATGTGTCTTAGTCTTAAATTAGATTGCAAGCAAGGCTGGTCAGAAACTTTCCATCCAAACGGTTTTTCAATGGAAAATTGGGTTTTCAACTAAATGAAAAATATCAGGAACAGTGTCAGCTTTCTGTGGAAAATTTTGATTTTTTTCATCGAAAAATCAAACACCCAAACCCCAAACCATTTGTAATCTGAAACGTTGCTGCAGTGCCTCATGGGAGCTGTAGTTCAGGTGCCTCATGCTCCTCTATAGGCTAAGCTCCCTGGTTGGACTACATCTCCTACGATGCACCACAGCCAGGGACTCCTCTAACAGAGGGGAAACTGTGGTGCATCATGGGAGATGTGATCTGACCATGGAGGCCAGCGTATAGAGTGGAAAAGGAAAGAAATCCCATTTTCTGACCATTTTCTCTAACTGGAAGCTCTTTGGGGGCAGGGACTGTCTCTTCCTAGGTGCGTGTACAGCACCTAGCACAATGGACCCCTGATCCTAAGAGGGACCTTTGGTTGCTACAGCAATACAAATTAATAATGGTAATAAGCCCAGTTACCAATGGAGTTGACCATCTATCCAAAGCCACTGTCTCAGCTGTTGGCAGGGGTTGACTGGGCCATAGAGATTAAACTCTCCTCTTGCCCCTGGGGGGGGGGGGATCCCCTCCAGTCAGGGATGAGGCACAGGGGCAGGGCAGTGAATGGCGGAAGCTTGTCCGTGCCAGCCCTGTAGCTAAACAGAAACCATCAGCCTCCAGAGCTGTCAGTACAGCACATTTCACCAGCACTTATTCTCACCAAGCAACCTTTAAAAATCAATAAATAAACGAATCACTCAGTTCCCTGAACAAGGTTAAAAATGTGATTTGATGTGTGTGGCGCTCCTTGCCGCACAGCTATCACGGAGCCCAGCTGCTCTAGGACGACAGCACATGGAAACGTCACTGCCACGAAGCCGGGGGGTGCAGGGGAAGGTCAGCCCTAGGGGGCAAGAGTCAACGACAGGAAGTGGGAAGACAACATCTGAGGCTTTCAGGAGGTTAGCGGTGGGTTAGGGCTGTACAAAAGCCAGTGGCTGAGATTTTCAGAACAGCCTAATAATGATTATTAATTATTTGCATTGTGGGAGCACCTAGGAACCCCAGGCACGGAGAAGGATCCTGTTGTGCTAGATACAAACACAGACCAGAGAAATGGTCCCTGCCCCAAGGAGCTTACCGTCCAAGTGTAAGACAAGAGACAACGGGTGGATGCCGACAGAGATGGGGGAGCACTAGGAAACAATGGCACCATACTCTCAGCTGCTCGCCAGTGTTCTCAAGCACACCAGCTACCTAACTGCTAAGGAAGTTGGTTCCCAACTTCCATTCAAAATCATCATAACGGTTAATATTGTGGTGCTTGTTGCTGCCGGAAACAGAACACTGGACTACATGGAACATTGGGGTGATCTTCTGTGCCCCTCCTCCTTGATGGACTCTGAATTTAGCATTCCCTTGTAGGGGCGAGAACCCAAATGCCACAGCACTGAGCTAGTGCAAAAGGACCTGAAAATTAAACGGACTATGGGCAGTAAGTGGAAACGATTGACCTAAGGCTACCTCTACATGGGAGCTGGGAGGTGTGATTCCCAGTTTGTGTAGGTTTGTTAGATGGCATGCTAAAAATAGCAGTGTCGCCAGGGTAGCACAGGTGGTGGTTTGGGCTAGGCGCCCGAGCATGTACCCACTCGGACCCCTGGGTATGTACTTGGGCAGTAGCCCCAGCCACCATCCATGCTACTCCGGCTATACTAGCGCAGGCATGTCTATGCAAGCTGGGAATCACACCTCCCAGTTCAAATGTAAATGCAACCTAAGGAGAGTGAAGTGCAAAAAAGGAAACAGTAGGAATGTGTAACTGATGGTGGTTCAGCACTGCCAACTGCAACCCCTCTGAAATCACGAGTCGGGCCATCAAAAACCATGAGAATGTGACCAAGACTGAGATTTTAAAAAAAAAAAATGTTGTGGTCTTTTTATTTGCCTCTTTAGTCTTTAGGATTTATGTTTACAAGCGCTTCTCTGCAATCATGTGTTCTGGAAATGTAGTTTGTTTTTGTTTTTTAAAAACAAAAATAAAATCTCAGAGCCTCAAATAATCACATGACTCCAGGAGCTGGGGCTATAAGAAAAAACACCAAATATCCCAAGGCTTATAATAAGATTACTAGAGTTCAGAACACTGGTTCATGCTTTAAATTCTCTCCTTTATAACAGTCTAGAAGTGCCATTAGTAACACTGTGAAGGACATTTTTTTAAAAGAATTATTAAAATATTCATTTGAATTCAACAGACTGAACCTGAAACTAAATAGAACTAGACTTTTCCCAGCTTCTATTTCATGCAATGAAAACATATCCTTTTTATGCACCATGCATTTCATGTTCCGCACTTAGAACAACACTGGATAGCTAGCACTGAAAGGTATTTAAATATGTGCCAGTGTAATCAAGACTAGTTCACAGCAAGATGGGTACTGCCAGCTCAAGGGCTTTTGCAATTCAGATTGGGTTCAGCACTGGTGCCGCCCATAGCATGGGCGAGAACTCAAAATGACAGACCAGAATGGCCTAGGCAGCTAGTACTGAATGGCAAAAGATGCCATATTATTCTTTTTATAAATCAAATGCAAATGAATACATCTATTTCCCGTTCAGGTGCTCGGCATGTCTTTGAAGACTGGAAATGTGCGTTTGCTGTAGGGCCTTGCATGCTGTGGATGAACTTCAAATGCATCAAAGGTTCTTTTCTGTAGCAACCTTAAGAGAGGCAACATTGCTTGGGGATTTGAGTGTAGTCACGGCTCCTTGGTTTTGATCCAAGCTTTGCCACTGACTTGCTGTGTGACCTTAAGCAAGTAGTGCTGTACCTCTGCCTCAGTTTCCCCATCTATAAGAGGAGGATAATGATACCTACTCCCCACAAAGGGACTAGGACATCCTGACATCAGTGGGGTTTTGTCATTCAGGATCAGACCCTTATGTCTGTACAGTGCTTTGAAGACGGAAACTGTCTCTGTATAGACACAGAGCATTTTTATGGTTATTAAAGGCCAGGCGCTTGTGCAGGTATCTCTGGTCTGCAGCTTGAGTGGGCAACTTATCTCGCTCATAACAGACCCAACCCTGAGCCTGCTGGTGCCAATGGCCAAATTCCCACTGACTTCAGCAGATGCAAAAGCAGGCCTGGTATTTCTAATGGTGGCTAAACCCATGGGATGCATTAAAATCACCACTTGGGGGTGGACGGAAGCAGCTTCCAGAACCTCCTATGAGGTTTTAGGTCAGTCTGGGTCTGTTCTAGGAATTCTCTCACCCTCAGCATTCACAGGAGCACATGGATTGGAGGAGCTATTGTCCAGCAGATCCCTATAGAAGAACAAGGAAGGAGGCAGCCAAGGCCCATCCTTACCGAGCACGTAGATCTTGGTGCCCCGCAGGAAGGAGGTGGCAGCGTACCTGGGCGTGGGCATGGTCGCGAGTGACACCCAGATGTCCTTGAGCATGTCGTAGTGCTGCATATAGTTGTGAGGCCGCAGGTCCAGTCCCATCCCGCCAGCCGCGTAGACTCTGTAGTCTGCAGAGGGCAGAGAAGCAGAGGCCACAAGGGCTCAGGAATGCATCCAGATCCTAATTATTTCCTGGGACAATGAAAAAGACACTTGCCCTCAGGGCAATTTCCAGGGTGCAAAAATGCATGCACTGCATGCATGTGAACATGCCAGCGTGCATTGGTGTATGCCTGGGCATGTTGCACTGGCCTCTACTGGTTGGAATCAGAACTGCTGAACTCTAGGTCCTAGCCCTTGTACTGCTAAGAGGTAATGGAGATTCTTTTGAGCCCCAGTTCAGTGCCCTCTCCACTACCCCGCAGTGCTGCTCTTCCTTCCGTGTAAACAGTGCTCTCGAGAACCTCAGAGCCACTGATCTGTTCTGAGATAGATTTACATCCCTACAAGTGAGAGGGCGTATTTGCCCAGAGCACAGCTAACTTTGGGCCTAGAGCGAGCACTGTCCCTTGGCACGAAGGATATTTGGGAGCCACCCTCTCAGTTTTCATGCAGTGCCCACTGTGCCATGTAAATCTTTGCAATAACTCAGACCAGGAGGTATTCTACTGTCAGGCCCATTCCAGTGCACCATGGCACTTGTCCTGGGCAGGAAAAGGGTTAACGAACCAGAAGCAGTTGCCAAAGAGGCTCTCTTCCCTTTCGTAACAATGGAAGGAATATGAATCCACCTTCTTTATCCCCCTCCCAGTGCACCTAGACAGATATTTAAGCACTACAGCAAATAAAGCACCTTTGTGCTCTGAACTAGAAAAGCAGCTTCACCCAAGGGGTGGGGTTTGTTTGATTCTCTCACCCAATCTGCTTTTGCCATCCTGTCTGGCTTATTCTGGGCCACCAAATGGTGACTGCAGACAGGGGCATCTGCGTTTCATGGAGCCGATCCTGTGTCGATCGGCCCCAGTCCCAGCAACTCACAAGCCTGAATCTCAGAGTTTTTGGTGATGTCTACACTGCAGCTGGGAGCGAGCCCCCCAGCCCAGGCGAACTCCCGCTAGCAGGGCTCGAGCTAGCCTGTGAAAAATAACCAGGTGGGCGTTCTGCTCGGGCTGGAGCTCAGGCTCCCTAGAGGGTCAGGTGGGCTCAAGACCCTGAGCTTGCACCAGAGCCAGAACAGCCACATTGGTATTTTTAGCACGCTAGCACGTCTACCTGCCTGGGCTGGGAAGCTCACGGCCAGCTGCAGTGTGGCCAGACCCCTACAGGCCCAATAAAGCACACATGGTAGGGGTGAGAACTGGTGGCACAGCGGTAGCATGTTTAAGAAGCCAGTCAGGGAGAAAGTGTTGCTCTCCCAGCTCCCCCAATGTCCATAGTGCAGAGGTGCATTACTGCATCAGCCCTGGCATTAATGTAGAAGGGCGTAGGCCTGTGCCCACCAGATACCGATAAGCTCTTGGAAAAGAGCTGCAAATAAATGACTGGGGAATAGGAAAATAATGCCAGAGGGTCGTGAGGGGAGGGAAAAGTCTGGTAACACAGGGGCTCTCTGCTTTGGATATAGAAATGCAGGGCTGGGAGGGATCTCGAGAGATCATCTAGTTCAGCCCTCCGCACGGAAACAGAATTAAGCATGCCTAGACCTCCCTTCTGTGAGGGGAAATGGGGCTCATGACAGTGAGGACTAAGATCCCTGGCTGGTGCCAGATACATGCCTGAGCTCTCACACCGCCCTGCTGCTGCCCTATGTCTTGACTTGCAGCACCCCCTGCTACTCCAGCCTTGGGGTTCCCATGTGGAGCTCAGCCAGAGCCCCTCCTGCTATTCAGTCTGGGTGTTCCCTGTACCCAGCTGATGCCCCACTGTCCTGGCCTGCGTCACAGGGGTTAAGGTGGGGGGACTGTTTACCTTTGGGGCAGTTTAGCCCCTGAGGGGGCAGGGTGCGAAAGGTGCTGTGGAGGAGCAGGCTGTGTTGTTTCACTCTGGCTGGGATACAAGTACCTGGCTATTGCTCCCTGGAAGAGGAGATGAGGTCAGAGAAACAGATGGTGCACTCAAATTACAGAAGAATCAACACAGCGCTCTCCAGCCCATACTTAGGAAGGGCATCTGAACTGCCTCAAAGCAGGCGAAGGATGGTTAGTCCTGTGACCCAAGCCACGGTGTCAGAGCCAGGACGCACACAAGGCACAGAACCAATTTGTTCATAGCTGACTCCCCGTCACCCACATCTGTCTCTGGGAAACAACAAATCCAGTCCTCACCAATGGAATCCTTTACATACAAACAGGGAGGTGTGTGTGTGTGGGGGGGATTTCTCCCACACAAACCTTCCAGGCTTTATTTCCAGAAATGAAATCCAAGAACCCAATGGCAGCAACCTGGCCCACAAGAGCATCCCTATAATAATCCCCCAGCGTATGCAGAGCAGAGCACGACTGAGCATCCCTACAATAATAAACCAGTATAGGAAGCCCGCAGCAATCCCAAGCAACCCTATAACACCACACCAGTGTAGGTGCCCTCCCCCCGAGCACTTCTGAACAACCTTACACTAACAAACCAGTCTGCTCAAGGAAGACAAAATATTGGGGGAAGGATTTATGTTCCAGGCTTTTCTGGCCAAGCTGATCCCTGGTGTGTCTTTGTTTAAGCCAGCAGACTTGCATCAGGGATGAAACTGGCTCAATGATGGTAAACATTGTTGTTGTTGTTTTTTAAATGCCTTGACAGTATCCTTTTTAATCCACCTAAAAACAAAACGAACAAAACCAACCAACCACTTCCAAAGAAGCTGTCTGGCGACTGGATCATGAACGCCTCTTCTGCCTAGAGCACCTCAGGAAGCTAAATGACCTTCGGGCTCATTGCATGAGAACACAGCTCCCAGCCTGGGGCTTTTCATCGCATGGCAGCACATTCCAAAGGAAATCAATATTCCAAGCCTCCGCTTAAAAATTATAAACAAGATGCCTAGATAGGCAAGCCAGAGCCCTGATACAAGGATTTTCTGTATGTCCATTTAATGCCACAGTATTATGAAAGGCAGAGGAAAGAGGAGTGTTTGGAGCTCACCAAAAGACACCTCCTTTTCTTGCACCCCAGAATTTGTACCTGCATTTTGCACTCAATTCAGGCAGTGGTGCAAATCAGAGCCCTTGTGTCTCTAATGACAGTACCGGAAGCAGGGGGAATTGGGCAATGGGAAGCGTCAGTGCTCGCATTCACACTTGTGCACTTGGTTCATTTGCACAGGTGCAAATTTTGGGATCCGGCAGTGCTATCCCTACAGATGCTGCAGAATCCCCCTATTCCGTGAATAGCCCCATAGGGGTATCACAACCTGGCCCTTTTCAGGGGCAAATTGTCACCCTCTTTCCAAGGAAGATGAGGGCATCGACTTTTGGAAAATGCACCTACTGACACGCTCCCTAAACAGGCCGTGAGGTTCAGGGGGTTCACAATGGGGCCTCGGGCATAGGCGGCGGGTCATATGGGCCTGTGGTGGCCGGGCTCCACCAATATTCAGAGCATGGAGGTCCAGCTCCACCTTTCCGCCAGCCCCGTCCGCCACCCCTGGAGCGTCCCTGCGCAGCGTCTGGCTGCCACTCCCCGTGCTGCGCTCTCTCGCTGGCCGGCTCCTTTCACGCTGCGCCCACCAGCGCCGCTCCACCGTTCCGGCTATAAGGGAGCAGGGCGGGCTGAGGCGGCTGCTGCAGTCTGCGGAGGGAGGAGGCACATGTGACGGCAGCTCCCCCACCTGGGCCCTGACCCTTCACCCATCAGGCCACTAGGTGATGGGGCGCATCCTCCATCGCCCCCGGCGCTGGACAGCACACACACAGCGCCGCAGGGGGCCGGTGGAGAGGGGCCCTGGGAGCCCATGCAGTGTGGTGCAGGGTGAGTGTGTTGCCGGCGGCAGACCCACCGTCAGTAATTCCGGGCCCCAGGGCAAATCAATCAATAGGCCCCCTGCACCCCTCCCTCAGCCGGGGCCACAAGCCTTTCCGCCTGGTGAATGCGCCCTACCCCGAGGCGCCCTAGGTCAGCTGCAGCCCTGTCCCTGGAAGAATTCTGAAAGGCTGTTGAACTGGGGGGGGGCCTGGGAAAGCTCAAGACTTTTCCCATTTCTAATAAAATCAGGTCACAAGAAGGCAGAATGATTTCACCTGTCTACTTAGTAACTCATTATGGCTACGGTAGAATCGGCAGCTCCATTGTCTGTTTCTCCAGAGGGCAGTGGTACAAGTGCCAAACCAGATAAAGTGGTGGATCCCACCCATCTTATGGCCCAAATGGGAGAGAGATAAGGAGCCTACCATCTCAGCTGTAAAGCCCTTGGAAATAAATGCCAACCAAGAGCTCTTTGTTCCTATTTGTAGCCCTTCAGGGAAAGTCACTAATTGTCTCTGCTCACAGATTCTGACCCATTTTATGATCCTTGTAGCTTGGTTTGCAGAGGTGCTAAGTGCTCATCACTCCTACTGACATGAACGGGAACTTTAGGTTTCCAGCATCCAGGGCCGGTGCAAGGAAGTTTTGTGCCCTAGGCGAAACTTCCACCTTGCGCCCCCCACCCCAGCCCTGAGGCAGCTCCCTGCCCCACCCTCCGCGCTGAGACGCCCCCCCACGTGGCAGCTCCCCCCCCACGAGGAGCCGTGCGGCAGCTCCCCACCCCAGCTCACCTCTGCTCCGCCTCCCCCCCAAGCACGCCGCCCCCGCTCTAATTCTCCTCCCCTCCCAGGCCTGTGGCACCAAACAGCTGATTGGCGCCGCAAGCCTGGGAGGCGGGAGAAGTGGAGCAGCGAT